TATATATTATTGTTGGTTTTCAAAATCACATTTGTTATAAGTATTTTTGCTTAGTTCTTTTTTCTCTATGCATTGATTACACCCTCTTAAATCCAAATTAGCCATATTAATCCAAATTTATTTATTTTTGGCTCACTTATATTTTGTAATAATTTCTAATTACAATTTAAAATAACAATGTAGAATTTCTATCTATTTAATGACTTAGATAAGAGTAGAAAAGATTCTATCTTAATCAAAGTTACATCTTTACATGCTATATGAGTTTATTCAAGAAAAGTCAAGAAGGTCTTCTTCTAGTTTCAAGACTTGGCCATAAAAAGATTGGAGAATTTTTTTTCATTTAGATACTTAATAGTGCAATGGATATGGTTAAATATAGAGTTTTAAATTTAGGCCTTTGTTTAAATCATGTATTAATTTAAGTTGAATGTCTAAAAATGTAGCACTTAAAAATTTTATTTAATTAAACGTTGCAAAATTTCACAAAAATAAATTATACAAAATAAATGACCATTCAAGTTTTGTAAATTAGTTGTAAAAATTTAAAAAATCCTTATATTTTTTATTTATTTAATTAACTAGAAATAAAAGAACATATAGCAATAAACATCCCTTTTTATTCAAAGAAATATAAAAATCTCAGTGCATATTTCGTAGAAGTTAATCTAAATTATCTCCCAAAACTACAAAATAAAATATAAAATTGTTGGAGCAGATACTTTCAATCTGTTATTTCTTTTGACTTTTTTAGCATTGATTTTATTTGTTTTTAATCCATAAAATTGGAGATAGTATAAGAGCTAGTTAAATCTTAAGCTTTTTTTTAAAACATGCTATAGTTTTCTTAAATACCTAGTTTATAACATTAGAATAGATGTTTTTTATTTTTATTTTAAAAAAATATTATTAGATTATATTTTTTAAATTATAGAATATAAATTTATATATTTATAACTTCTAAATTATATATATATATATATATATACTTTATAGAAGAAATTAGTTAATAATAACATGAATTCCTAAATATAATTCATGAAAAAATGATTTATTTTAAGCATATCCCATTAGAATTATAATCCTTGACTCTCTTAACTCTTTGTCTAGGAGTTCTACATCAATGTGGAATTGTTGAAGTTTGCAATCATGTTTTTATTCTTTATGTCTATAATATCTACTTTTATGCAAGTACAATGCTTTAAAAATATGTGCACATTAAAAACTTTGCAACCCTCTTGTGCATGATCCAATCTTCATGCCAAGCAATTGCATAATTAAACTTCTTTAAGTCATTCTTTTATTTGATTTGAATAATAATTTTAAAAAATTGTTTACTTAATATTTTTTTTTCTTTTACATGATAGTATTGATTTTTAAATTTTAGATTAAGTTTTCAGTAACTAATGACAAAATAGGAGTTCTTTTCTTTACATAATGTAATGAATGTAAATACAAATAAAAATACAAGCTTATTTTTTTAATACAAATTAGTCACAATAGTTATATAAAGTATTTATTTATTCTTAAAAATTTATATATTGACTTTTAACACAAATGTATATATATATATATATATATATATATATATATATGTGATAATTTGTACAAATTTTTCACTTCCAATAATAAGATCCAAATTATATATATTTAAACTTTTTGAAAGCCATGATTTGTGTAATTAATTAAGCTATTAAAGAATATTGTATTTTTGGTCATTGTATATTAAAGAATTAAAATTCTATATTCTAATTAATATTTATTGTTGAAGAGCCATAGAAACATCAACAAATCCTTGAGAAAAACTTAAGAGGTCTTTATACCTAAAAGCTTAGCTTAAAAGGCCATAGTTATAAAGCCTTATCAAGATCCCCTACTTGGTGAAGAAAACCCTTCTTATGAAAGTCTTGGTCTTTAGACTTAGTATAAAGTAAAAAATTTTAAATACTATTGTCTATAAAATAGTATTTTTTATGCTTTAGTTTTAGAAATTATTTGTTGAAGTTAATCAAGTTCTACAACAATTTAATTTGATTGATGGAATTTTATACTTAAGAAAAAAGGTGAGTGATAAAAAAATTATTTTTTTTGATTAGTTAAGATTAATAAACTACACTTAGTTAGTTATATTCTTAGCAAAATTAGAACAAACGTCCAAAAGTCTAAAAGTCCAAAAATGAAACAATAAGATAGAATATATATATTTGTTTAGTACACGGCATGAATAATGTTATCTTTTGGAATTTTAATTGGACCCATCTTAAGATATTATTCTTCTATAATAAATAAGTAGCATGTAAGAAATTACTAAAATAAACTATCAAAAAATCATGAATTGATTAGTTCATATTTTTTCATTCTTATCAAAATAAAAATATGAGCTGATACATTTAGACTTGTAATAAAAGAATGATTTGGTCCAATTTTTGGAATTTTTTTACTTTATACTAAGTGTAAAGACCAAGACTTTCATAAGAAGGGTTTTCTTCACCAAGTAGGGGATCTTGATAAGGCTTTATAACTATGGCCTTTTAAGCTAAGCTTTTAGGTATAAAGACCTCTTAAGTTTTTCTCAAGGATTTGTTGATGCTTCTATGGCTCTTCAACAATAAACATTTCTCATAGATTGCAAAAGTTGCAAATCTTTATGGATAAAATAATCCTTGCTAGCAAAACATTGCATAAAAAGTATATATTTTATGGACTTGTGCAAAACTAAACATCAATATACATATTTATTTAAAAATATTATATTGCCAAAAAAGGTTAAAAAATATATAGAAACTTAAATCTGTAAATTGTGAAAAAATTAAACTATAGACTTATAAGAAAATTTATTCTAACCTTACATAGTAAAATTTATGATTAAACTTATATTATAAGATAATAGTAAATAACTAACGAAATCCAAAAAATAAGTATAATCCATCTTTTCAAAAAAATTAATAAAGAATCGTTATTTTTTTAATACAATATAAATAAAATAAAATAGAAATAAAAACTAATAATTCAATTTTTTGATAACCAAAAATTCAACCAAATACAATTTATTTTATAATTAAGTTTATTTCAATATAAAAATAAATAAAAATTTAATTAAACTACCGGTACACAAAAAAAAAAAAAAAAAAAAAAAAAAAACTTTGTACAGATCTGCACTAACTCATAAAAAAGTACACCTTGTATTAAAAAAATATATGGTTTCTAATATATCACTATTTACATGAAAAAGTCTAAATATTTTAATGGTTAAATTTTTATAAATTCATGAAAATACATATATATTAAAAATATTACATATCATTAAATTACATATGCAATGTGATAAATTTAAAATTATATGTTATTTATATCCATAATTTTATGGATACATACTTATATATATATATATATATATATATATATATATGTGTGTGTGTGTGTGTAGATATAATAAAAGAACATAGAATAATTTCAAAAAAAATTCAAGGTATAAAATAACTTGATGATATATATATATATATATATATATATATATATATATTGATAAGAACAATCATAAATTTTACAGAATTCAAATTTATATGAAAGTAATTCTGCAAAAGAAATTAAAAAAATACCTACAATACACCTATAATATAATATTTATAATCTCTTCTTAAAGCCAATTTGATTTAATAAAAGTTAATCAGATTTTATAATCATTTTATTTATCCTATTTTTTTCATATTTAAAAATAATAACTTTTTTTAATATTATTTATTTTATTATTTTATAAATTATATTAAATTATATAAATTATTATATTCCACCATATTATTAGTATTTTTGATTAAAAAAAATAAAAATGATAATTTGTATTGATATTGAATTTAGTTTGTATTATATATTAATAGTTGAAATATTTGATATATTAGAGGATTGTTTTTTGTTTAATTAATATTTTGAATTCATATAATAACTTTTACCACAAGTACAATTAATTAAAATTTAGTATAAAATTATAGTATTAACAAAGTTAGAAAATATTATTGAATGTTAGGAAATTTTTTATTTATTACAACTTCATAGAATAAGAGGCTATTATCAAAAGCACGCTTGTCTAATTGTGCAATCTTTAAAGGACTATGTAGTGGTAAAGACATGAGTCTAGTTTGTAAGATTCTATTTTCCATTTGTAATCATAGCCACATCTTAACAATCAAATATTTTTTATTATATTAGATTCTCTAGTATCTAATTAATTATTAAATTGCTATTTAGTAAATTCTAGTTGAACTAGATGTATGTTAAAGACATAATAAATATACAATGCTTAGTTATTTATAATAATTTATTTAGAATGCTCTAATGGAATATTTGAGTCATAAAAGTAATCTTATTTGTCACACAATAATAAGTCTTTAAGATTGCATTTATTGTCTTAGACAAAATTATAAAACTCTTTTTTTGTAAGTTTTATATTAATAATCAAATCATTGAGTATTTTGAATATCAAGGTGACAAAATTGTTAAATAAATCTTATGTCAAGCAAGAATGTATTGTTGATATAATCATTTTAAATATTTTGAAATGACAAGATAGTATATTTAGAGCCACTATAGCAAACAATAGTTTTGGTAGATTTTCACAAAATTTTAATTAAAGAAAAAATACTATATATATCCTCTAGATTTGGTGGGTATTTTGATGGTTCTAGCTAAACAGACAAAAAATATCCTATAGCAAATACTTGATAGTTTTGGTGGATATTTATGCAATTCCAACTAAAGAGACAATATGACAAATGTTTATTAAAACCATCCTTAGAAACTTAAACTTCTTATTTAATTTCTAATCACCAAACTTGGCCACAACATAACTAACATGTAAAGGAATATCCTACAAGGGAATTGCAATCTACACAACTAAAACACAAAATAAACTAAAAAATCCCTCCAATTGCTTGAACCACATCAATTTAGACCAAAGAATTATGTAGTTTGCATTAGATTGAGTAAGTAAATTAAGACTAAGCAAGTAAAAATAATAATAATAATAATAATAATAATAATAAATGGTATTTAGATGATATATTTCCTTAGGTGGCACCTTATAATGTAATAGCACAAGCTAAAGTAAATTGACAATGAGCAACCTAAGTTACATAGGTTATTGGAGCAAAAGCCACTTAGATGGCTATACAACCATCTATTTGTTGCCTAGTCCAATTTAGAATAGTTCTACAAAACCAATAGAGATAAATAGAGACCGAGTTAACCAAAAAAAACTTAAACATGTGTATTTATCCAAAAACCTTTTTGCTTCTTCTGTACTTTTTAAATCTCCTATTAATTTATTAAAATGAAACCCTTCAATTTTATCATGTGATAAATTTCTATCAACATGAATTATTTTGATATGAAATAATCTTTAATCACATTTCATTATAAATCAATCTATTTAGCAATATGTGAGTAACCAAGTACATTATTTTATCACATGGTGTAAACCTAGACAAATTAATTTTAAATATTAAATTTAATGCTTGAGATTAAATTAAAATGTGACTTAGAACAACAGAATGACATGCAACCATGTAGTGTCACATTATGGTCATGCAGGAGGATTGATTGTTTGTTTGTATTTTTTTTCAATTTTATTTGAAGGTAATAGAGAAATTAGCTCCTAATACCTCTCATGATTTATGGACGTGGGGTCGGAAACTGAAACATGAACCACTGTGATGTATGCTAATTAACTTTCATTATTTCTAATTCTTAAGCTTCTGTGAATGCATCAGTGCAGCACGCACACACGCACATCTCCCACTTATCTCTGCATAATCCAGCTGTTGTTGCAATGCTATCCGTGGGATTTATCCAATTCAATGTCAACTTACTGCTGTGTGCAAAATATACACGTAAGGACAACCACCAGCAATCTTATCATTAAACAGAGGAATGTTGCGTTGCCCTCCAGGTCCAGAGGTATAAAACGAGGAATTGGCATCATGGACATGGGCATCTAGAAGGAAATGGTTGTCTGTCTAATTTTAGATCCTCAGGACATGATCAATTTGCTTAACGTCATGCAGACGGTCATGATCTGGGAAAACCCTAGGTTCGGCAATTCAGTAGGTTTCTGATGATAACATCATAATTCTCGACTTCAGCGAGTGCACAAGGCGCTGCAAATGCTTCATGCTCCGACCCACTCTATCCTGCAAGATCAAGCTCGATGATACACCATATTAGGATGAAATTAATCGATAAAGTATCTGTGCACTACATTCGTGATAAGGAACATAATGGATTTGACGAAAATGACTTGCAGCACTTGCATCATATAGATACGAATATTACCTCATTCAAACATTCAAGTCTATCAAACACTGGAAGCAGCTTTCCAGCCAGTAACTGTACATCTTCTTTTCGGCCCCAATTCGTCTCAAGATTTAGCTCAAATCTACCCTGCCTATTTTGAGGCTTTGTCAACCTGCCAGTAACGAGTGATCAAGACCATTAGACCCCACTCGGCATGATAAGCAATATCTAAAATTACAAGCTAAATGGAAGAGTTCTAGTTGAATAACATCCAATTTTACAAAGAAACGCTTCATGGAAACAGAGATAAATACAGTGCGTTACGGAGTCAATTTCTCGCCCCGGAAAGAGAACTGGTCAAAGATTCATTGGATCATAATCAGCTGCATCAAGTTTGCGAACTTACTTCTCCAAATGGACATATAGAATCTCCAGGGCATGCTCCACTAGAAAAATAAGAGAAGAAACTTGACATTCACGGCTACCAGCTGCACTGCACATCTCCACCATCGCCACATATCTCCTGCAAACAAATTAAGTCAAATGAATGAGTGAACACGGGTGTGATTCTGCTAATAGATTGGTCGTAATGAGAACGTAGAACGTTTTTTTCGCTGTTCCATAATACATTCTGCATTTCAAATGAAAAATCAACACCACCTCTTGCGGATGCTATCAGCAGGATCTGAACGCTCTTGTCGCCCATAAGCCTTGATTATATCATCCACCTCGTGGCGCGAAAGTTCATTTACGTCTTGAAGCTGGAGAAGTCAGATAGCACCCATCAGCTATCTTAAAACAGCACGATAGAATGCTAGAGAGTACATTTACCTTGTCAAGAACATGAAACCCCGACAACTCTGAACAGAAAAAACGTGAAAATAGGGTGCGATGAAGGGCCTACGTGACGAACAAGTAATAGACCAATAAGTATTGAATCTGATCTCAACTGCACGCAAGGACTTCCTCCTGTAAGAGACATTTCTACTAGGCGAACATACCCTAGCAAGAAGAAGAGCTTTCTCTTCTAAGGCTAGCTCTAAGTCCAGAGATGTTTGTTGCAAAAGGTCAGCGACAAGCTTCAGCGTCGGTTGTCTCTGGCGTCCCAAATTGTACGGCCCCATTGTCGCACCGTCTCCAATCTGCAAAGAGGAACACACGTTCAAAATTGAACCAAACATAACCTTGGAAGCAGAATGGCTTTGGAAAAAGTGTCTCAATGATCCTGACATTTTAAAATCTCTATGCAACTATGCCTCGTGTTCATGTTAAGGTAAATACTCAATTCATAAAAGCACGCAACTTACAACCTCAACTTTTCGACTATAGAGAAGTGCGCATAAAGGTTACAGAAAACGCACATCAGGCTTGTAAATATGCAGACGCAGGTTGTGCTTTGTGACCAAGGCATATAAGTAAGCAATCAAATTGCATCGTACACGAGCCACTTGGAGCTCCATTTTCCTTAAACTCTGCCAGAATAAACCACGTTCTATTCAAAGAGTCCCCAATTATCTGGTAAGTTGAAACCCAAAGTAACACAATATAAAACACCAATAAGAATCAATCAGCAACGTGATTCAAAGAGCACCTACAAACCAATAACAATCAAAAACCAAACGCATACCCCCAAAGACATGCACATGGTGGTCTGTGTCCGTGTAGCTTACCTCTCGAGCTATACCAGATGACTCGTTTATTTTCTCCGCCTCTTGAATATGATGTATGAACCGATTTCGAGACTCTGCATCTAGGCTGAAGTAGACGTACGCAAGGTTGAACATTGCTTGCGTGTACCCAAATTCAGAAGACTCCTCAACCGGCCATACCTGGAAAAAACTTAGGCTTGTTAAGTGCCAAATACTTACTGCACAGTGAGGAGTTGCCAAAAAAAAAAAAAAAAAAATTGAGCTGCACAGACTAGCCAGCGTGCTGGACTTAGCATGATGATGTCAATAATCATTACGACTTTGTGTCTCATTGCGACAGCCCTTGGGATTGTTAATGGGGTAAATGCGCAAGCATGCAATTTTAATACAAAACAAACCAAATGTTGTATTCCTACCACAATCCTCCTGCATAGGGTACCTGGTTATCTAGCTCAAAAGAAACTACACACTCTTACAGGATAACAAGAAGAGGAAGATTAAAACTAAAAAAATTAAAAATTCACAGATAAAAACAATAAGCCATTCAGCCTATCAGTTTTTTCAATCTCTTACGATGTTACAATTTCTATGTAATTTTTTGAAGAATGCTTATTCTTTGACAACTAACTCGTTACCCGTATGCCGAGTACATTCAAGCATTTTTAGAAACCCCGGTAACAATATCATTACCTTACTAAGGATTGCAGTAGCCAACTGGAGTTCATCCAGATCTGCGATGTGCACGTTTGGGTTGTCATCTCTTAGGATTCTATCAAGTAAGCCATGATGGGACTTGATAAAATCCAAAACTTCAAGAGCAACTTCATTTCGATCCTGCATAACATTGCCAAGTTCTAGAATAAATGATAATTCATACTGCATTCAGTGCTGGGTTCAAGCAGATTGAAGTCACCAACTAAACCTTCATAACAAAATTAAACAATATTTAAAGTTGTCGATGATACAGAGGGAGAATTAGAGGCTCCAGAATCAACACAGTATCTCCCAGAAACTAAGCGGAATTCGTGCTCTGTCTCCAGCATGGAAACTAATTTTAGGTTCTAACAATTCTTATCCACTATTCAGATGATTCCCTTTGGAGACAGTCCAACAACATTCAGCAAAAAGGACATGGCAAAGAAGGATATACAAAACTGAATCATACTTACCCCATCAACCACTTCTGTAGAGTCAATTAAAGAAGTAAAGCAAAGGACCAGGCGTAGAACAGGCGATACGAGTTGATGCTGACGATCATGCTGATTGGGCATTCCTACACCAACCTTTACTTGCTCCCACTTGGCATCATCCTAAAAAAAAATAAACAAAAAATCACAACGACAAAGATTTCTTGATTAAATGATGTTACAAAAAGATACTAACTGTATCAACTGATAACTTTAAGAAGAAAATCTCAAATGAATTAAAAAACTGAAGGAAAAGATCGTCTTACAGTCAAATGAGCATCAATAGCTCGGCAAGAGGACAAATGACGAAGGGCTCCCATTGCATACAATGTCTGTGCCCCACGTTTTCTATTGTGGAATCCCACTCGAAGGAGTAGAGCCAGCTCTGATTCCAACGTATATAATCGACGCAAGGATTCGGCTGAGGGAAGTAATATGGCCTGCAAATCAACCCTCATCACGCTATTCGTACTTGTTTTATGACGAACATCTATACATGCATCAACACTATCATCAAACAAAAACTTCCGAAGCTTGTAATAAATTCAGAGATCGCCAAGAAAAGCCATGTCTTACTTGATAAGAGTTGCTGCTGATCTCAGCTAAGCATGAATGAAGGAGTCCGCGACTTTGTAACTGGCTGAGAAACACCTGGTGATGGTCAACTGCAAGTAATGCGTCCAGCACATAGTAGGCCATAGCCTTACCTGTCTCACTACCATTTGTAGCATCCCTAGCCACCTGTGAGACATGAGAGAGAAGAGACATAAGACAAAGAAAGAATAATAAAATAAATACAAATGAATAGTCCAATTCGTCCATAAACCAAAAAAAAGGAACAAAAATAAAAATAAAATTTGCATCTAATGTATACTCCTTACTAAAAATTAGTCAATCGTGAAACATCTTAGAAGTACCAAAAAAGCACATCAAAAGAGACAAAGCACTGTACCACATCCACAAGAGGGGCTGCATTTCGCTTTAGGAGAGAGAAGTTCACTTGCGCAAGTTCGGCTTGGTCTCGGTCCAGCTACAAAACAAGCCCAAAGAGATGTCAAGTAACTAAGTTATACATGCTCTCTCTCGCAGAGCAAATTGTTCAAAGAATTACCAGTAAATATGCCAACACTCTCCAAGAAATGGGCCACAAGAAGGGAAGCAACCTGAAGTTATACAAGCAATCATCTTTCTGCAGGTAAGAGATAAAACTGAATCAACAAGCACACCAGCTCTACTTCCAAAATGACCACTGCAAAAAAGAAGTAATATAACTTTAAATTTATACCTTTTCAACTTCCATATCCTCGTCACCGGCGCCAACAAGCAAAGTTCGCATAACAGAAAGGGGCAAATCTCGGTTCACCATTCCTTGGCAGTAATGAAAATAGCTCAAAAGTATCGCATATTGTCTGCATTCGCATCGCAAAAATTCACCATGAACTTCATAATAGATCACGGAAACAGGCCTTCAATTCACGAATCAAGGACCTTTACCTCCGGAGATTCTAACTACCTTTCAACCATCAAACATGTTCGAGAAAGACATAGAATGGTATCTATACCTGCGCCGCAAGCTCTCTGAGGATTCGTGTCTCAGAATAGAGGCAATAAGCTTAGACAGGATGGTGTGGCATGCGCTGTTCGATAACCGCACACTAGACAACACATCCACATATGTGACATCATCTGTACTATCGCCTTCACCAGGTGATATAATGCTTTGTTCTTGAAGCTTTGCCATAGTTGTCAGAGCCACCTGCAAGTACAAATGATTGGAAGCAGATTCAGTTTCAACGCTCGATGCACCTTTACATTCCAAGCGTGTACACATACAAATGTGTGTCCTGTCCGCACCAGTACAACATCCACGACCATAAAAATTGAAGAGTCTTGCGCAAAATAGAGTCAACAATAACGTCTCGTAATCCAAAACTCTCTACTTACTTGACTTAGCAAGAAGGCCATGCGTAAAGAGCAATCTTGTGATGTAGTTGCACTTATTGAGGCATCCAAAATCCTGTCGCCATAGATATCAAAACAAAGCTATCATATTGTGAAAATGCATATAAAACAATGTGAGTCCGGATGAGACAATAGACATCAAAATGAGGCAAGCGGAAATAAGGCATGTTGTAGATTGTTTACGAAGTACGGCAATCACTAAGCTTTCAAACGTGAGAAAATTAATTACTTACTCAAAAAGTACATGCGTCCGACTGCCCAAAAAGTGAAACCTTCTCGATATTGTTATCTGCGCAAATATCCACCAAGTTGTGACCAGATCAATGATTCAAGATTCAACTACACAATTGTAAGACTACTGATGATCCTTGACCTCCAGAACAACCCAAGCACCAACAGAGATGTCTTACAACAAAAACATAGGGAGTGGTATGATAGTCCACGTTATTCATGCATGAAAACAGGATAATATATACAAGAGACTATGATAGCGACTAAAAGGGGAATGAAATTAAGACTCCCTCAAAATTAACGAGTTGTGTGCATCAAATACTCACAGGATAGAATTACACAGAAAAACTTGAGAGAATGAATGTTGCCCAGCAATTACTCTAAGGTTAAAGAATTGTAACAAACCTCTACAAGCTGCGACCATCCTACGAGCATATGTAGTTGAGCAGCTTGCTCCTCTAAATTTTTGTTCCGCTTCCAAGCCCAACGCAATAGTTGTTGCACTGCCTCCCGAAGTTCAGACTGCTTCTGACCATTCACCAGAAAGTTGTACTGACCCTCCAACCTCTTGTATTCCTGCAAAACTTTACCGTCTCTTATTGGATAAAAAATGTAAATGCACTAAAAGATCTATCAAAAGGACAAAACCCGTACTCTTGCCCATCCAGGAACTACCAATCAATTTACGTAGAACCTCTATCAAACGGCAGGTGGTTATCCACTACGAACCAGACATATCCATACATGATAACATGCTCCATAGCGAAATAACAATTAAATTTGACTAAAATACCTGCCAAAGTAGATCTCTAAATGCTGAGAGGTCAATAAGACGATCCCCACGTTCTGAGATGTGGTATACACCCCCTTGGTCAACTGTAGCAGGACTGCCAAGGATATCATCAACCTGTAGATTGCAACTGTCAGAATTCTATCTGATCATAACGTGGTCAAAAGGTATTACGAAACATCTTATTCTAAACTAAACTTGTCATAACTCTTAGTGTTATTTTGAACTGTAACGAATTGTAATCAGAACTAAGGCTCATCGATCATTCTCCAACAACGAGACCGACACACTAAAATGAACTTGGGAAAAGATAAAAACCTTAAGCTCCTCTTTCAGACCATGCAATTCTGGCGGAAAGTCGCTGGGAGATTCGGGGAGTTGAAATTGGAGGATTTCGAGAAGCTCTAACACCTTCACAAAAACCCATCACACTCACATCAGTACATTTGAAACAAGAAATGAACTATCTACATCTAGCCAAAGGCAACACATAGACTTACTTTGGTTTTGTGGATGCTGTTGTCAGTGGTAGTCAAGGTCAATCTAGCTGGCATAAGGTTAGATGGAATCCCCGTCTCCCAAGATTGAGGTTCTCTCAAAAATAAGCGAGAAAGGAGCCGACGACAGCTGTCTCGATGGACAACGACATCCATATCGCCCAAGTGAAGTTCCAAAGCGACCAACTTCAGCAGCCAGGCTCTCTGCGATTGATGAATTTGTCGATCAATAATGGCTCAGTCAACAAGTTTCTGTTTCATACAAGTAACTGAAGCAAAATAGGCAAAGTCTGAAAAGGGACACCTGTTGTAGGCTGCTCACACGCAGCTGTTGATTTGTGCTGCGCTTGGGAAGAGGTTCACACACGAAAGTATTCAAATGCTGCCAAATTAAGTTTCAAAGATATTAGAAGATGAACATGAAAACATCATTTGAAGATGATACACTGTGGACGCTACGGGCTCAAGTGTCATATCCGCAAGCTATCACACACGCAATGTGCATTACCCGTAGAGAGCACACTGGATAATGAAACTACTGAAAACTTAGAAATAGACTATAGTTGTTGAATAACCACCATCTGTTATCCCTTAAAAGTTCGAAAAGTTAAAGAAGAAAGATACTGCAAAACGAATCCCAGCTTTTTCTATTATCTTTTTGTGCGACAAGATCAGTAAAAAACAAAGAAAACCAGAGACAGTACTCTTCAAACCACTTCTTACAACATTAGTTACAAATATGTAGCTTGAAAACTGAACATTATGAGCAATTAAAATATCTTCAAGGTAATTTGGACACAAAAATTAAGTAAATCAAATTACGGAAATATGAATTCGTAAAAAAGAAGAAATTTCGTAAAAATTTCGTAAAGAAACAAACCTTGGAGAAAAACTCATATTTTTCACTTCTGAGAAGTTCCACCACAGGACCACAAGTGATTGGATCCACACAAAGTTCATACATCAACTGCAGTTCAAATTGCACGACATCAATCAGATACATGTGACATAAATAGCTACACCAATCAAACATTTCTAGCATGTACATCCTCATCACCTAGCTTCCTTTTAAAGTATCACTATAATTCCAAAAGATATCAGCATATCATATATTGTTTTAATCAAGAGCACCGATTATTCTGTACCATGATATGGAATTATGCGAAAAAGAAAAAAAAAAAAAAAAAAAAAAAAAAAAAACTGACAACTCATTGACACAACCCCAAAGAAGACCAGGGAGAGAAACAACTCACAAATCATCATCATAAAATGAAGTGAATGTAGTTAGATAACTCAATACTGCCAACGCACCTGGAAACCAAGTTCATGCAGTCCAGCATTCACTTCTGGCCTTGCAAGCGTGTCCAAGACGTCCAGTATCACTCGTAGACAGCTGCAACACAAAATGCCGAATCAATTGCAAAAATCGGGCAGATTTTCGTTGATGTCTTATATGAAGCTACTCATAAATGAAAAGAGATTGTTTATATCTGTAAAAGGTCAGAACCCTGCCTGAAGTGACGTTTCGGCTGAAGCATTGTCCTCTCTACAAGTTGATTGACGTCAAATTTTAGAAGAAGATGCGTTACATTTGGAGCAGGCTGATCCAAATTAGCCAGGAGAAGCTGTACAAGATATGGTTACGCCATTTGACAATCACATTAGCGACACGCCATTTCCAGGTGTCCACATCATCTAAAACAAAACAAAACAAAACAAAACTGCCTGAAGAGCAGATTGACGACTTTGAAGAACTTAGTGAAATAACAAACTACTTCTTGGATGTGAACATTGAAGCTTAAACCGTCAAGGTGGATACAGATTCAGACATACACGTAAAATCAGTGAGCCAATATCCTCATCGGGATTTTCAGGAGCTTGGGGTTCCTCTGCACGGGTCTCGAGGCAAGCAGCATAGTCCTCAATAAGGCTTGATGCAGCTCCAGCTTCTAAAATAATGGAGACCAATTGCGGCATTCGTGCACTGTGAGAACCAACAGAGATTGTTGTTAAAGACTTAGATTGCCGGTAAACCCAATCTACCAACCCATAAACGGCTGGCGTTCAAATATTACTTATGACTACAAAACAACATTACAGAAGCCAGGAAAATCATCTCCTAATGATATACAAACGTGTAGCATATAATACCTGAGCACCTTCATAATTTGGACGGAGCATCGCTGAATCAAAGGTGACATATCATATCTTACATATTCCAATACCGTCACAATTTGTCTGATGTCGTGAGATAGAATATTATCTATTGGCTGTAAAAAAAAGGGAAATAAAAATTTAAAACCCACATAAAAATGAGGAAAAAAACAAATAGACAACCTAAAGTTCAAATGTATTGAAAAAAGCTATGCGGCCAAACTCGGAAAGTTCCCCAGATTGTCCGGTAATCACGCAGTCCACTGGAACCACGAACTTCCAATTAGACAAAGCAACAGGAAACTTGAATGTTTACCCTTGTCTACCAAAGTTGGCACTCAGCGGAAAACAAGAACTGGTAAAGATAGAGAAATGCCTGATATACGGGACGCCAAGCCTCTGAGAATAGAGTGTCTTTGGACAGAGCAAGAAACAAAATTTGAAGGCAAAGGGATATTGCTTCTTCCAAAGCTGGGCCATAAAGTTGGCTTGTGCGTTGCTCCATTACAGAATTGACGCCCACCATCAATATACTCATTATATTACGATAAATCACTTTGCCACTCATCAAATCCTGCACGAAAACAACGAGCCATTTAAAAGCGGAAAAACTCCTTAAAAAGTTAAAAATTAAGAAAAAAATTGTAAGAAAGAAGAAGAAAAAGTAAAAGGACATTAAACATAAAAGTAACAGTGCAAAGAAGAAAACTAGTATCCATCGTATTCAAATGCTGGCAAAGCCCAAACATTTAGATTCAAATACCTAGAGGAAGAAGCAAGAACAACAATCGAGAGTAACACATGATACAGTTCATAATAATTGGCAGATGAATATCAGAAAATACCTTCATCAACTCCGTAACTGGCAATCGAGTAATGGCAGCTGGAAGACCTGGTGCGGCCATCCCTGGAAGAGAATTTTCTGGAGGAAGAAGATGATCGGAGCTATTCCTCACAGCATCTTCAGTAAGTTGATAAGTACTCAACATCCTGCACACAATATCGGGATAAATAATCAAGTACTGACATGAGAATGGTCGACCTCAATAGGTTGCCTTAATGGTCGCATTCAGAAACCAATTCTATACTACGTTGAGTTTGGGAGGTATGCACATTATATTTCTGATTTTGAAATCAAGAGAATGTACTTCCTCTTAATGGCCGAACTTTAAAACTACGTCAAAAAATCAGCTTAACATACACAAGCCGCTATGCCTTAGAGCTAAGAGATTCCTTAACACTACAGATTCATGGTAGAAGATGTCGGCATACAACTGGGCAACCCTCCCACTACGGCTACTTTCAAGACCATCGGATTGCATATCACCACAGTTCAAAGGTAAACAAATCCTTACAATTCAAAATGGCGAAGCGCAGTGGCAACAAGCTCCCATTTCTCCACAGGATTTGCATATGCTCTTTGTGCGTAAGGTGCAAAAACTTGATCGCGTACAAATCGAAAAATGCCAATGTATCTGCAGTCATTGATCACTTGCATGTTACGATCATCTGGGGATTAGGAGAAAAAAAACAACAATAAAGAGAAGAACACCCATAACAAGCAGTTTAAGGAATAAAACAAATCTCTTGCACGTACCTACCACCCTTATCAGGTCCGTCTGACTCATTCTCAATCAGAACATTAAGCAACTTCAGATAAGAGAGTGTAGAAGGATATTCTTCCTGCCTAGCCTCCACTTCATTCAACTCAAAAGTCATGTCATAAACCTGAATGAAAAAATTATACAAGTCGTTAATAAACTGATCGATAACCGCACTGCCAATCATGAAAGAATCCCTACAAGATGTTTTACTCAAAATCTTACGTTGTCAACAACGCTAAGTGATCACAAAAGTTAGAAAATACAAACGAACTCTTTAAACTTCAATACTCAAAAAATTCGGGTGTACCTGAGAGGACACTTGTTGAGCAGAGCCATCACTTAACAGAGGTGTAGCCACCACTGGCAAATCGTATTGTTCTAGGAAGCTCCACACTTTATTTTTCATAACTGGTGATACAGGAACAAAAGTTGCAATTGCATTCCGCAAAGCCCCCTGTAATTTTGGATCAAGCATAATCAGCACAGTGTTAGTCAATCTATGAAATTCCAAAATGAGATCTGAAGGCCAGGGATATTCACAAAGACATACATCCAATTCCCTTCGAAAATAAAATAATTGATTTTCAAGTGCTAAATCTTAAGACAAACCTTCAAGTAAGGGGGAACGTTCTCATATGACAGAAGCTTAAAGAGTGGCTCAATATCCATGAACCACTGCGAACGTTCCATTTCGTTGCCTTTCTCCATAACCTGTAGTGGAAACCACATTCAGAGGCTAATGATAATGTAAAAATCTCACTGATAAAACCAAGGAGTACACACACATCAAATACAGCTCATAAGGATTTCAGAGGAGGAACTTTTCATACCCGTCTTAACACTTTGAGGTAGGCCTCTAATGCACGTGCATCCCCTTCTTGAAAGGGTGGAAGAAAAGCTCCTGCATTTTGAAGGCATTGCCTAAATCGTTGATCGTAAACTATTAAAGAATTAAAAAGTGTTTGCCATCCAAGTGTGCGAATAGCCTTGTTCTGAAGCATTTGATATATTTTTTTTGCTCCTTCTTCACTAGCAGCCTGCAACAGACACAAAAGAAAAGGTGATTGGTGTAGCTCTCAGTAACAAGTGCATTTCAAAAACAACTGCCTATGAAGTAACAGATTCAATCAAGATCAATTAATTCATCTGCATGTCCAGAAACACAAAGAACTGCCTCAAATTGAGTGCTCTAGAACCAATCACTCTCAGATAGCATTCGTACCAATGCTGTGAGCATATTAAGAAAGGCAACTAATGTGTGGTATGTGTTGTGGTCCTCCCCTGCAAATCTAACAAAGTTCCAAAGATCGTCGTTGTCCATGATGAGCTCTGGTTCTCTCTATGTCACGTAAAACCATCAACAACAGATATCAATATTACAGAATATACTAGAACATTGTAATACTAAACTTCTGAGCCTGAACATTTTTCCCATTTAAGTAATTGTTACCTCGATAGTACTTCTTCAGAACATATAACATCCTTAAAAAGAGCATTATGAATAGTTATGCAGGTAAACCAACGATTAATCCAACTTACAACCTCCAAGAATATGGAAAGCGACATCGAAAATGCTAGCTTGGTTAAGTGTTTCGGGAATTTGACATGGCAAAAGCACCAGAATATATATTTTCAATCGCAGTCATACACTCACCTGATAGACTTCCCCGATCATAGTAAGCAGTGAAATGAAGGGCTTAGCTTGAAGAACAATTGCCTGCTGTTGGGCTTTACCATCAACATCTGACATGGTATCTTTCATATCTACATACGTATCTACTGCCACCATAGCTGCATCCTTCATTGCTTTTATCTGCAACATATCGTGAAGGAAAAGTTAAGACCTCACAACGAGCCCACTACGCTAAAATCCTATGATACATAAAATTCAAAATAGCAGATATTTTCGGTACAAGCAACTTCCGACTTCTGGTAAAAAGAAGATGTTAGAGACATTGAAACGCGTAACATTAGGCCTCAGATTACATATGAAGCTCGCACAAATTAGGATGTTGCGGATCGTGGAGAGGTGATGGGAATCAAAAACCTCCCACGACGTTGGTCATGTTCCACTAATTAGTAAGACAGAGATCCTTCTAAAACATCCAGAGAATCAAAAACCATAAGCAGAACTTACTTTTTCACGACCTGCTGGTTGGGCAAGAAAACCTGTCATCAATTTATGCAGATATGCATTGTACATAAACACGAGCTCTTCGTCATCGTTCTGTCAACAAAAAGTAACACATCGTACAATTAATCACCCCTTCACTACTACAGAAAATCAAAGGGGCGTCGAGATTCAGATCAAACAACCAGCACTTCATCAGAACTGATAAGCATATCAATAGAAAATCTCGCAGGTCTCACTTGATATGAAAAGACCACAATATTATACATATGACCTTTTTCTTAAAATATACATAGCAAAATAATAGTTGAATCCTTCATTTCGGTAATGCAAAAGAAAGAAAAGAACATGGCAAACCTGAAAGGTAGCAGTTTGAAGAACGCGAGTAGTGAAGAACTCAAAAACGTCATGCTCACATGCACGGTTTAAGCATAAGGAAGAGTAAGTATCGTCTTCAGAGAAAGATCCAGTGGGGCTATAATCCAAGGCACCCTTTGTGAGCATCAGATAAACAGCCCACACAAAACGAATCACACCAGTGAACCCCTCGGCAGTCACATTTAATTCCCCTGCATCCATTAACTGCATAATTACCAATACCAAGAGTTAAAGTAACTCATACTTAGAGAGATAAGCACATCCATGTCTTACACCAAGGAATCAGATCACTCAGTTCAGTGTATACGTTTACAGAATGGGTCCTATACTGAGTTCTACATGTAACTCAGTCCAGCATGTATACAAACATTTTAAACGTTAATATAGAAATTCCAATTGACTCAGTTCGCAGTGGTGACTATATTGGGATGATGGAATCACCATTTGTTGAAACTCTTTGCGAAACCCAGCATCAAGTGCAAGTACGGAGCCCATCTCTTGAGACCCTCCTAATGCATCCGATATTAATGAATCGAGAAGCGCAAACATGATTGTATATGTGATCTGCAGTTCAGCGCATAAAACCAGTTAGCTTTTCAGGTGTAAAGCACAAATCTCAACAAATCCCTGCAATTATACTTTGTACAACAATCACCTGAAGCTTAACAGCATCCTGTGATATACTTTCGTCACTAGCGGAGTCCTTGAGCAGGTCGTACAGGTCCTTGGCCTCTTGCGCATCTGATCACAATAAGTAATGCATTGTCACAAAAAGTGCACTCGTCAAGAATAACGATGAACGAAACAACCAAATAAGTAGTGAAATATGTAACAAAGACAAAGACAAAACAGAAATCTGTAATAATTATAAGACCAGGTTGAAAACATACTTATGCGAACAATGAGACATGTAAGTACAAGACAATGACAAAGGCTGAGCCGCTCCTTTTGAATGACGTTACGGCGCTGAACCACTGCACCACGCGAATCCATCACGTAGGGCTCCACTCCCGGACCTCCTAATCCAGCTGACTCTTCTCGATTTAGTTCCTGAAGCGTTGTCAATTAGACAGTTAATAAAGCAACACTCAAACCTTCAACAGCGGATAGTTCAGGAGAGTAAATGCCTCACCATATTCCATATTTCAGGTAAACAGCATGCTAATCACCACCTAGACGTCGTTTTGAATTTCTTCTGATTGTGCAACATGAAACGATACTCTCTTGTGTTTCACTACAAGAAAGCTCCGTCGCACTTAACACCAAATTTTTTGAAACCACCACAAGGTAGCACTCACACTTCAAGAAATACCACTATAAACTTGCTAATGAACACACAACAGAGCAGTCCTCAACACAAATTCCCAAAGAACACTTTAAATTGTTGTAAATTAGACTAAAGGCAGCTGTAATGTCTCAACTGTTTACACTTGTCAAGTCAATACATGTCAAATCAAGAATCACTGAGGAATTAAGCAACGGTAGGTTCAGTAGTAAAAGAATATAACCACTCCAGAAGCAATGAATTAATATAAAACACAGAGAAAAGGGGAGTGGGAGAGAGCAACGAATGTCCTACCAAAGTTTTCAGCATTTGGAACGTCAAATGTCAAAAGATTAATCAAGTTTCCAAGTTCAGACCTCTATAAACTTTTTCTCTGATGTGAACATTTAAAAGCCAGCCTTAATCATGCAAGGTGACGCTTTATATGTTATGACGCAGAATCTTGTTAAAAACCAAAAATGATATCCCCTACAGAGATTTAAACAAATTGCACCTTGATTAAGTGGATGAGTCTTGCTCGAAGGCCTCCTTGCAGCAATCTTTCAATGTACGAGCGAATGTCCGCAACAAGATCAGGGTCCAACTCATCATCTAGGACCACAGCCTGAAAATCGTAACACTAGGAATCAGTAATTGAATGTTTAAGGGTCCGTTTACATGTCTAGGAAAAAGACACTAGTAGGATTCACCCCGCAGCGCAATACCAGATAAACTGAAAGTCATAGCACACCTGGATACAATATGAACGTAAGAGGACATACTCGAAGTAAAAGTTGCAAGGAGGTTATTAAAGCTCTTCGCTCTGTAAACCATAGGCCAGCTGATAATCGAAGTATTTCCACAGGTTCCCGACCTAAAGAATTCCACTGCCATATCGCAACCCAGAAACACGTCATGAATACCCATAAAGAAACACTCAGCAAACTGGATGACAGAAATACATATTAAGAAAATTCTGATCTGCAGGAATTGGAAGAAGTGTAGGGGAAATCTTTCTAAAATTAATTGATAATTGCGAAGATATTCGTAGATTTAAAATCCAGCAGAGTACAAAATAAATCATTGTAAAAATATAGAATAAATCCCTATACAACAGACACTAACTTTGAGACTACAAGGATATATAACATGTTGGATGCATATGATAAGAGAAAAAAAACAATTTTGCAATCAGACCCACCTCTTGATGTGCAGACACTAATAAACCCACGCAGTATATTTCATTTAGATTGTAATCCTCACTCAGCTTGAGCGCCTGTTCCACAACCATAGAGTAGTAAGTATTTCCATTCTGTAAAGAGATACATATAAGACTTGAGGTTGAAACACTCCATAATCAAACAAGAGTAGAGACACAATTAACGAAACGAAAAAGATCATGAACGTAGATGCATTGGTAGGGGTACTAAAGCACAATAACAAGAATAAACAATGAAAGGTGGACTTCATGATTGCTCTCGTCAAAGTACATCCCAGTTATGTCAAATGGTAAAAATAAGGCATAAAACCAGTCTTACAATTTGTGCATCCTGGTTATCAAGTATTGTTGGTGCAGAATTCGGTAACCTAACTTCCCTCGATGCAACTTGTGCTCGATCTTCTGCTTTGGGGCCCTGTCAGAAAGAGACTCATTTACTTAAGGCCCACTAAGAATCTCATCGAAAACATAAATAGAGGACAGTCACAAAAAAAGGGAGAAACAGAGCCTTCCTAGTCGCACTCCCTTGACATACTTTCTCTGAAGAAATCTGACAGGACCATTTGCTTCTCAAGGATGGTCACAATGTTCCGAGATTCTGTAAAAAACTAAGGATGATACGCCACCTTCTGCTCTATGAGTACATCAATTAGATTAGTATCCAGCTACTTCTGACTTAATATCTGAAAAAGATTGTTGGGAACAGCAGTTAGGAAACTTTCCAACACTGTATACTTGCGTATTAAGCCGGAAGCAACATATCTTTTGACATTGAGTAGTAATGCTTTTTAATCCAATAACAGCCTACTTGCTACAAGGTCTTCAAGGTCCTCAGAAAGTCAGGAATGCCTTCGTGATATAAGATCCTTTCGATTTTGGAAATGCTAAGGGGAATAGAGCTGCGCATGGGTTCACAAGTCCTTCATACTTCCGATGCGTCCCTCACTTTCTCAATGAAATTCTTGATTGTCAAGTTGGGTCTTTCAAGTCCGGCCTTGCTAAGATTTCGTACCAGGGTTTCGGGTTTAGGGTTTAAGAATGCCAGGCACTGCTCTCCAAACCAAACATTGAAGATTCCAAACTCCCTGATCTACATTTGATCCCAATCTTCTGCGTTACCAGGCTGAGAAAAAATGAACATCTTTACGCGTAGTTCTCATCGAACGAAATTCTACAATAATTTTGGTCTAAGCCAGCAAGTAAATAGTTAAATCTTCGCAGCCTTCTACATGCCAGCAAATTTCTAAGTCCGATGCTTTCGATGCTGCAGCATGGACGAAATACGAGCTGCTTGAAACAACGTACAGAGTCCGTGTCGAAAATCACATGCACGACCAAGCACTTAACCTCTCCACGAGGAAATCGGCAGTTTCATGGATTCGAGAAAGGATGTGAGAGCCTGCTAGACAGTTCCTCTCTAATCGGAATAGAGCCATCCCTGTAAACCTGTCCAGTATTTTCTACTAACTAGAACACGCCACAAGGTTCACAATGCAGTTGCCGAGCTGACCAGAAAGAATCACATTTCCCCATTCCTCCGCTACACAATTGTTTTTAAGAGCTCGCGCGGCGATGCCCGTTGCCATTTTGAGACTGATCGCAATTACAAAACCACGCGAGCTGACACTCCGCCCACCAATGCAACCGGCACTGCTTAATTTTCACGCAATCAACCCCCGCAGTGCGACTACACGCCTTTCAAATGCAAACACGAACAGCCATACCGAAAAACCTCAGGATAAAGGATCCACTTACAGGATACTTGAGAAAATCCTGGAAATCGGGAACGCAGATGTGCAATGCATGTGAGAGATCAGCTCGGTGGTGAGGCGCAGGGTTGGGCGTCAGTAACGCCGCCTCCACTGCGGCCAGCAGGCGTCGGTACGAGACCATGACGACTTAACTCCTGCAACCAACTCAATCCCTCACGCAATGCTTCAACACCGCCACTCCAACACTCACTCACTCACTCACTCACTGCCAATCTTCCTCTTTTTCACTTCGGCAGTTGCACCTACACGCTACGAGCAAGACCGCAGCATGACTGGTGCTGAGAAGCCTCGCTCGATGAAGCTGCTCCGAGCTGGCTTCCGATTAGGGTTTGGAGATGAGAGCCTGTGGTCCTGGTGTCGTCGAAGAGGAGGAGCAAGAGGAGGAGGATCCTCAGGCGTTTGAAAGAGACGAGATTGAAGAAGCGTAGGCGCTGGAGGCCGAGTCGCGGGGGGGCCGACTCTCACTGAGACTCCTCCCCCCTCGCCCTCCCTCGCCTGTCCTGCTGCTGCACATTGCTCGCCAACGCCACCGCGAATGGCTCCGCGCTTTCAATTGAGGACCTGGATTCGTCACACTACTCCCGGGTATTAATACAGGTATAAATATCTATACCATTTCAGGGTCTCAACTTCTGAAGGGCTAAAGCCCGATTAGGTTCAAACAAATAGATAGCAAAATCCTCGACTGTTGGAAGTACTTTCATCGTGATGTTTTGAACGTGAGTTTTTATCGAGAATCGGTTTTTGAATCCTCTGGTGAATACGGTTTCTACGCTTCTTACTAGTGTTTTAGAGAATATGACTAATGATTTATAACAAATTTGTTGTTTCGAATTGGATTTATTTTGTTTGAGAGTAATGGCATTCAAATCAGGGTGACAATGAATTCAACTTGACATTTAATCTTAGGAGTAATAGATTGTAATGATCCAAGATAAAATTATGAATTATTTTATTGTGTGTTTCGTTTCTCACTTTCATGTGTAAAAGAGTATTCCAAAAGATATAACAAAATCAAATATAGAAATGGATAGGTTTTTTCATTAAATTGTTTTCAAGTTTTTTACATAAAAATAGTCATTAATAATTACATCATGTATTAATTAATTTTTTCTTTAAATTAAAGATGTTTTAAAATTTGAAATTCATGATATTTGTTTGATTTAAAATAAAATGTAAAAATCACAACTAACATTGTTGCATAAAGTGATTTTCAATCTGAGAACACATTAAATACTTAATTGTAGAGAGTTTGGGTTTAATTTATTGAATCAGTTCCAATAAGTGATATATTCTTATAATAGAGGCCAAAAAAATATAAGAGTATTAAAAGATATTATCCACCTTTAAACAAAAATACTTATTTTTTAATACTGATCTTTTCCTAAAAGAGAGTGAATTACCCCTCTTTGTGGAAATTTTCATTTGATATTAGAGATTGCGGATTACTTTCCTCTAATTTAACTTTTTGGATTTGTTTGAATTGTCTATGGAAGGAAAGATTATGGATGCTACTCTTAGCAGAAGTGAAAATAAATTTGCAACTATTATAGATCTTCATGAGCTTGTCAATACTTTAAGAGTGAAAATTTCACATATTTCCAATGTGAATCATGGAGATATTATGCCTATGCCTATGGAAATAGTTTAAAATCTATGGTAAAAAGTTGTGCAATTGAAAGAAGTAAGTAGATCGACTTCATAACCAAATTTGAGGAATTTTGCTTCTACAAGTATGATGGGGACAATGATTAGTATTTTTAACAAGTTTAATGAAACAAGATAAAAATTTTGAAGAATTCTGCAATAATTCAAGCTCTATCTAAAGTTGCATGTTTTTCAATATTCCAATGGATTACTTAAGTTAGATTCATAGGCGTGCTTCTATCAAGAAGTGCTTTCTTTTAGTTTGCACCTTTAATGAAAAAAGATTCATAACTTCTTTATGATTTGAGTTTATTTTTAGAACTATTTATGGCTACATTTAAAAAAAGTAATCAAAAAAGATTAATAAAGATTAAGTTCTTATCTCTATGGCAAGGATCATGGCCAGCCACCATATATGTTGATGAATTTCAAAATCTTATTTGCTACATGGACTAAAATGACAAGCCTTTATCAATCAATTTCAATATGGATTGAAAGATAATGTCAAAGATTTCTTATTAAAAATGCCAAAGGTAAAATCTTTAGAACAATTTATTACTTAAGCCATTGCATACAACAATTGATTATTTGAAAGATATCAAGAAGAAAGATTTGACTAGAGAGGAACAAATCAAATAATGATGGCAACTCTCAACTTCTTAGAAATTTATTCATTAAGGCTAGAACTAATATAAATTAATACAATACATTTTAAATCCCTCACAAAATAAGAAAAGACTTGACAATGTTAAGAAGGCTTATGCTTATATTATAGAAAAATTAAACACACTATTCAACATTATCCAAAGAAACAATAAAATCACAAAATAAGAAGCATGGTTTGAAAGAAGTTAAGGTGTTAAAAAACGAGTTTTTTAAGCTATAATAGGGATTGTGGAGCTAGAATCTTGCATAATTTCAAGTAAAGGTCCTATTCTCTCCTCAAATCCCTCACCTTATTTTATAATAGAAATTTATTTAAGACCAAAAAATCACAAAGAGTTAACTTAGTTAGATTCAGGAGCCTTAGCCTATTTTATAAATAAAGATTTTTTCAAAAAATAAGAAATATCATTAATCAAAAAAACTAAACTTGTGCATGTAGACATCATAGACAGTCATTTGCTATCTTTTAGAGATGTTACGCAAGAGACTGTTCTTTCAAATATATCAATAAAAGATCATAATATCATAGTAATATTTAATATAATAAGATCTCCATCAAATCTAATTATTTTAGGATTATCTAGATTAGAAATGTATAATCTTCAAATATATTAGATTTCTTGTAACCTTAATTTTTTTGATAGTTTAATCCAAAATCTTGTTAGTCAAATAAAGATACATAAGTTTAATACATCCAAATCTTTATTAGTAGATGCAAGAGCTTTTGTAAATGCCACAAAAGAAGGATTATCTTTTGCTTTATATGCCACACCCATTTTTGATGGCAAAAAGACATCAAGTGGTATTCTTAGTCAATATCAAGATTTTTAGGACATTTTTAAAAAAAAGAATGCAGATATTCTTCTAGAGTATTATTCTTATGATTGTTCAATCAATCTTCATAAAAGAGCTCCATCCACCATTTGGACCAATCTATAATCTATCACAAAACAAGTTGCTTATACTTCGAGAATACATTGATGAAAACTTGGCTAAGAATTTCATAGGTCATTCTATATCTTCAATCAAAGCTCCCTTCTAATTTGTGAAGAAAAAATTAGATCTTCATAGATGTGTGTAGACTATTGAAGATTCAATAAGATCACCATTAAAAATAAGTATCCTCTATCTTTGATTTCAAGAATTCTTGATTAATTGAATTAAGCAAAGATCTAAACAAAAATAGATCTATGAGGAGCATATAATCTGATACACATTAAAGAATGAGATGAATAAAAAATTGTGTTTTGAATTAGATATGGACTTTTGAATATAATGTCATGCCTTTTGGACTCATGAATGTACAAGCTACTCTTCAACATGTAATAAATGATGTCTTTTGTAAGTTTCTTAATGATTTTGTTATTAGTTATTTAGATGACATGTTAATCTACTCTAAAAATACAAAAGAGCATAAAGTTCATGAAGTTCATGAAGTTTTTGTAGTTTGTTACAAAAACTTTGAGATACAGAAATATATGCCAAGTTAAAAAAGTGTGTATTCCACATTATTCGAGTTGACTTCTTAAGATACATCATTTCCAATGAAGGACTAATGATGGATCCAAAGAAAGTCCATACTATCATGGATTGGAATATTCTAAGATTAGTAAGAAATATGCAATATTTTTTAAACTTTACCAATTACTATGGGATCTTCATCAAGAATTTTTTTCAAGTTGTAGTTCTACTTACATATTTGACTTATAAAGACAAACTTGAGTGGAATAAAGAATCTAAAGTATTATTTGATGCTTTAAAAAAAGAAATTACTTTTGTGCTAATCTTATATTGTGTTGACTTCTTTAAGGCATTTTCTATAGAAATACATGAAACAAACTTTGCCTTAGGTGTAGTATTATTACAAATGGGAGTAGAAAACAAACTCCATCCAATAGCTTTTTATTCCAAAAAAATTTCAGCAATTAAGATTAATTATGAGATCCACGATAAAAAAAACTCTTTGGAATCATGGATTTATTTCAAGAATGACATCAATATTTAAAAGGCGTGTCAAATCTAATCACCATGTATATAGATTACAGGTGTTACATGGTACAAAAAAGATAATTATATAAATAGTTAAAACCATAGAAGTTTCTAGAATTGGAGTTAGATTAGTGGACCAAGTAAGATCAATCATAGAATATTTTAAAAGAATTTAAGACAATTATTTAGATAGGGCCTACCATAGAATCTTCTCAAAAAGACTTAAGGTAGTGATCTAGGTGGAATGTATTACCTAAAAACATTCTAGAAAGTCTAAGTGGTAGGATAAGATATAAGTAGGATTGGCCAAGGCCTTTAGGAGCATCTAGTCATATATGGCTTTAGACTCTTTCTCTTAGTAAAGTTTACTTTTGCATCCTTTTGTTTATTTCAATTTTGTTTTGTTTCCATCTGCTCAGTTGTCTTTCATATTATATTTTGTGTAGTTCTATTTAGTTGAATTTTGGTTTGTTTTGTCCTATTTTATAATTAGATTTTATATTGTTGTGGAATAGAAGGATCTTGAATTTTTGAGATAGTCTAGTCCTCTTTCATTGGTAACAAAGCAAGTATTAGACTATTTACTTTTGGTAACATGTCAATAGTTATCATGTACTCCAAGATCAGTTGTTGTGGTTATATTAAGTATTGTGTCGAGGCTACTACAAGTTATTCTTAGAAAATCAATCAAGAGGTGAAAAGATATTATAATAGTAAAATCCAACGGAGAAATTATAATATGGAAGATATGACAGAGCAACCCCAAATGGAGGCTCAAATACAACACCTCTTAGGCCAGATAGCTACTTTACAAGGACAAATAGAAGCCTCGAGGATAAAAGAGTCGACATCTGTTTGGTTGAAATTGAGTAAGCTTAGTACATACTCTCGAACTTCAAGACAAGAAGATGTATGTGAATGATTCTTCAACATGTGACAATACCTCCAACTATCCATGACAAATACCACTGAAGAAATTATATATACAACTAGCTATTTGAGGGATGCGACAATCATTTAGTGACAACATCAAGTTCAAAGCTATAGAACTTAAGATAGATTTTGTAATTGGGAGAAGTTTGAGACTTAGTTTAGGAATCAATTTTGATTCATTAATGTAAAAAAGATAGTACGTGATCATTTGGCAAAACTTACACAAGCTAAGTCAATATAAGATTATGTT